TTGAAAATACACAGGCTCCCCTCAACTGATCAAATAAGTCGTCGATCCTGGGAAGCAGATATTTATTCTTGATCGTCAACCGGTTAAGATCCCGGTAGTCGATACACATGCGCATAGATCCGTCCTTCTTTTTAACAAAGAGAACGGGTGCTCCCCACGGTGACACGCTCGGTCGGATGAAACCGAGTCGTAACAGCTCCTGAATCTGGGTTTTAAGCTCCTGTAACTCTTTAGGCGCCATGCGATATGGGTCTTTGGATACTGGACCGGCCCCTGGAATAAGATCAATAGAAAACTCCACCTGACGATTGGATGGTCCTCCTGGAAGCTCTTCTGGGAATACGTCAACAAACTCGCGAACGATTGGAACATCATGAGGTGTCCGCGCTTTCGGGGAATCCTCAACAAGGCTTACCAGATAACCCTGGCAGTGGCCTCGTCGCAATAACTTAGTGGCTTTCGCCATCGAAACAACATGAGGCAGTGAACGGTTCTTGGAGCCGAAGAAAGTAATCGACTCGTCTCCCGGAAGATAGAGAGTGATCTCCCAGTCATGACACCTGATATCTGCATGATAAAAAGATAGCCAATCCATCCCGAGAATAAGATCGAAATCATTCATCTCGAGAACAAACGCGTCGGCAGTCAATACTCGGCCACCGATGGAAAGGCTAAGATCTGAAGCTTTAGCTGAAGTTACTATCTTTCGTCCCGAGGCTAAACTCACCTCGAGAGGATCGACAACGGTAACAGCATGAACTCCGATGGCGTCGAGACACCGTCGCGAAATAAAGGTATGCGTTGCTTCAGTATCGAATAACGCAAACACAGGTATATCATTGAGAACAACCATCCCGAACATTATACCTGGTTGCTGTGCGGCCTCGACCTGATCCACCGCGTAAACCCTGGCCTGCTGCCTGCCCCTCTTCTGCTGCTGCTGCTGAGGCGGTCTCTGTGCCTGCTGTCGTGGCTGCTGCTGCTGTGGTGGCTGCTGAGGCTGCTGCTGAAGTTTCTTCCGGCAACGACTCGCAAAGTGTCCCGGCTCCTGGCAAAAGTAACAGATGTCCTGTCCAGCACGACACTCTCCCCTGTGAAGTCGACCACAAGTCGGGCATGGTGGAATCTGTCTCTGTCGGGTCCTCCGGTCGGTCTGTGCACCCTTTCCCTTTCTCTTCTTCTCCTTTGCTGGCTGAGGGGCTGGTAGAGCTGGTGGAACTGCAACTGGCTGAGCTGGGGCAGATGGCTGGGCACGATCACGAACTGCCTCCCTCCTGATACTCGCGTCCACCTCCTGAGCGATAGAAACGGCACGAGCGTATGTCTGAGTCCCGTGTCCCACAATGTTATGACGAACTGCTGGGTAAAGTCCGTCAATGAACCTCTGCGCTCTCTGGGCCTCCGTGCGAACAAGATCCGGTGCAAAACCTGCGGGTCTGGTGAACTCTCGCTCGTACTCATCGACGGTACGAGTGCCCTGCTGAAGTGCTAAGAACTGGCGCTCCATCTCTGCCCGATAGTAAGAAGGGTAGTACTTGTCGCGGACTAGATTCTTGAACATGTCCCATGTACAACCCGCCTTTTCACCGGGACGCATGCTCCAGTAGGCATTCCACCAGAGCCTGGCATCACAAGTGAGCTGAAGCTGAGCGCAAACTACTCGATATCTATCGGGGCATTCCATGACCTC